AAAGGTGAACTTAAAAAGTCTATCCCTGTCCTACTTTGCATACGCAGGTGGGTTAATAATAACAATACATCAAGGAGGGTGGGGGGTTGAATGAGCTTGAGGAAAGGTCTCTTTTAAAAGTAAAAAAAATAATAAAATGCAATAAGAAAAAATACACTAGTTTAGAAAAAACGTATCTACAAAGGTTTACCTACATTCTAAAAAGTCATAACCCAAAATGAGATTTAAACTCACATTCCAAAGTTTTTATGGTACCCCCGTGTCCTTGTTTCCGTTGATTTTAGTACCGTGTCACCCCCATTTTCTCCTAACCGATTTTTTTAAGGCCCTTTTCCAATACTCGACTCGGGCTCCGTCACAGGCTTCGTTCCCAAAATCAATCCCCGATTGTGGGCCTGAAGCGTTTAAATTAAATTGGATTACTGTAATTTCTGGCTTTCTTGCATCTTATTTGATGTTTTGTGGCACTATTAGACTAATTACTGCGCTTACAGCTTCAAAGTCAGCTAGTTAAAACAGGTGAAGCCTCAGACGGAGCCGAAGTTGAGTATTGGAAAACGGCCCCAGTGTTTTGCGCAGATTTGAATAAGGGCGCCAAGCCGAACAGCACGTGACAACTGCGCGCCATTTTATAAAAATACGCCACAACGTCGTGATCACCCTTGAAGTGCGGGATCGGCTTCAGTTTGGATGCAAGGATTCAGAGTTTAACTGCTTCAAACTTGATGTTTTATGTCCTGTTGTCTACCAACTTGCGTTTAAGAATTGCCCACTAGAGGTAGGTACACGGACACTGATAAAAAGGATGAGATTTTCGACCAAAGGCAAAGAATGGTGCATCCTGACTCCACTTCAGCGGTTTTGTAGTCTGGTACAAGCAAGAAAATTTTCAAAGTAGGGCCTAGGCCTATTTCCATACAAAATTGTTAATTTTTCTCAATCAAAATTCATGTCCTTTTCAGCATTTCTGCAATAACCAACCTTTATTGAGTTGATGTGTGATGAAACCAGTAGAGGCAGGATGCCACATTCTTTCCACACAGTTTAAAATTGGTGCTTTCAGGCAAATTCTCTAAAGACTAAAACTGTTTTTCTGCCCAAACCTGAAAGTAGGTTCCAATGCCCCAGCTAAAATTCTAAAGCTCTGTATATGTTCAGTAGCCAGATTGGGAGGGGGCGTAATAGTAATAGAACTGTACAAGGAAGTTGTGTTTCGAAAAGGTTTTTGAATTCCCATTCTGCAGTCATGTTGAAAATAGCACCAACATGTGACTGACCAAAGCCAGTCGAGGGGAACAAATATTTGCAAATTCTACTCGTATATATGACTGACTTATTATGTCAGTTTGCAAGTGGGCACTAAACTTTAATAAGAGGATTTTGCAGCAATTTCTCTATGGTCTAGTACTAGTAGCAGAGGCATGAAATATCAGATTTCTCTCTTGTTTTTGTTGTGCCAAACAGGCCAAACACTTTTAGTTTTCTCACTTAAAATTAAATCTTAAGTATAAATAGGGCAGACTTATACAAGAAAGAGGAAAGACTACATCAAAACAAAAACTCAGCAAAGCAAAAAACAGAACAGAAAATACTCAAAAAAATCGAATTGAAACCAAATCAACACGTAACCTGAAAAATCTCACAGTCTTCTTCCAACACATCTGGTATCCCCTGAACTCCATTCCAGCAGTGGCAGTGAAGTAAGGTAAATAAAATAACTAAAATAATAACAAAGTAATTAATGGGAGGGGGAATGAGAGTAATCCATAATGGGGGGGAGTTAATAAGCATGAGCGATTGGATCTTGAGGGAACATTAAATCACACCAGGCATTATAGAGGAAGAGTATGTGAAATTGTCCCAAAATCTAGGAAAAACTATCGGGAAAATTTCAGGGAGTTAGCCCTGCTATATTGCTACCTAAACATGGCACCCTCTGGATTTAAAAGGAACCTCGGGTCTATCTGCAAAACATACACAGGGACCACCTGTAAGTGGCACAAGGAAAGAGTTGATTGCATTGGCATTTTGTAGCTTTCACCACGAAATCGCCAGTTGTCTCCTCAAATGATTTACAACTGAATATCTGGGCTGAAGGATAAAGACAGTTGTTTATCAATTTATATTTGAACTTTATACACAGTAATACATTTATACCAAGGTTGTTTCTCAAGGGGTCGTATAGCATAAATCTTTAAAAATGAAGAATCACAAATTTAAATTCTATAAAAAAAAATATTCAATGTGCATGCCAAAGTATAAGCAAAACTTAAAGGAATAAAACAGTATAACGTGTAATTGGTAACAACAGCAAAATAAGATAATCAACAGAGCTGTGTAAATCAAACTCACTTCACAAACAAGATCAGTAAAATGCATTTAAAGAATTAATGTCACTTGAGTAAAATATTAAATTCTACCGAATACAGTATTCATTTAAAGTATAAGCAAACGATATAGAATGAAGAAAAACAAGAAGTATATGTTTAAATTCATTTAAAACAACAGTTACTTATCAATGGAGTTCAGTTACTGATCCACTTTGAGATCTAAATTCCGGCGAGGAGGACGAGGACGATCATGTACCTTGATGTTGGACATAAACCAACTTTTTAAAACATGACACTAAAACATACACAAAACAAACCTTTGTAAATGACTGCCTTAGGATTAGAAAGAGGGTAAGAAAATCTGCTACCTGCAGTCAGCAGGGGAAAAAATTCAGAAAGAGTTCCATATCCGGTCATCATTTACACCCTGTGCATTGACTCTATGAGATTGGTCTGAAAAAATCGAATTAATTTCTAAGTAAATGCTTCAATGTTTTCACTGCTAAATTTGACTGACTTTTTGGGACATGTTATCACTTTCTGATCGCTAATAAACCACTGCAAGGGAAAACTAGTTATGTCTGTGTGGTTACCAAAAAATTCAATGCATGCATTTTTTTAACTTTGATAATGTATCCTAAATTAATTGTGATGTCAAAAAAGAGGCTGGCACCGGCACGTTAGGGGAAACTTGCAAACGTCCAAAATGGCCATTGAACTGCCAAAATAGGTATGTTACATCATCATAATGATCATGACCTTTTACGGAAAAATGAAATCAATTGTTAACCAATTTTTCCATCTTGATTGTAAAGAAATCAGCCAAAAACCTTTTGTTAAGCTTTTATTGTGCAGGCTTGCAAACTGGCACATTAGTCAGTTTATTGAGAAGAATTTGTATGCTCCTTGAGCACCCCTTCCCCCTTTGTGTGCCACCGATATGCACCTGGACAAAAGTACCTTAAATAACTCCCTCAAAGGTAGGGCACTAGTTGACATTTTGAACACTTGCCTTGGGGGATTTAGCTCTTTACTACATAAATTGATGTCATAAATTTAACCCTAACACTCCTCAGTCCTCCAACAGGTGAAGGATTGAGGAGGGTTAGGGTTAAAGACTTTAAATACCCAGGTTCCTAACCCAAACTCCATACGGTCATGTTAAAATCGGAGGATCGAGGACTTTAGAGTTAGAAGGAACAGAATTTTTGAAAAAGAAATTGAATGTTAGAATTTTCTTGGTTTAAAAGGAGTAGTTCTCAAGTGATAAGCAGCAATATATGAAAGTAAACGAACCTTTATTTCAACTTTATAAGTAAGTTTCAATAAAACTGAATATGTGAATTTTAATTTTCACTTTCACAGAATCAAGGAAGTTATGCCAACCGCTTGATGTGGAATTCATAGGAACAGGATATTTTACAAAAAAAGTTTGCATGTTCACTGAGATATAACCAATAATTGCAGCTGTGAACATGCTCAAGATCATTGACTGTATGATTCTGTGGAATTATAGATCAAGGAGCTGGCGTTCTGTGGAATTATAGTGCAAGGATCTGTGGAGTTCTGTGGATTTATAGGACAAGGATCTGTGGATTTCTGGAATTATAGTGCGAGGATCTGTGGAGTTCTGTGGATTTATAGTGCGAGGATCAGGATGGAGTTTTGTGTAAGCAACATTACTGCATGTTCACTGAGGTAAGGTAACCATTTGTTGCAGGTGTGAACATGCACAAGACCTGTGGATTGCAAGATTCTGTGGAATTGTAGTGCAAGAAGCTGGATTTTTTGGTGAAAGCAACAAGATTTGCATGTTCACTGAGGTAAGGTAACCATTTGTTGCAGGTGTGGACATGCACAAGACCTGTGGATTGCAAGATTCTGTGGATTTATAGTGCTCTGGAGTTCTCAGTGTGCAATTATAGAGCAAGGATCTAGAGTGTTCTGTGGAATAGTGCGAGGATCTGTGGTGTTCT